GGCAAAACTAGGATTACTTGACAATATCAACATTGCTCACGGTAGTTAGTAGCAGACGATAAATACGACCGTTGACAATTTCGAGCGTTTCTGCAGACGATACTAGCAGACAATAATAGCGACCGTTGACTATTTCGAGACATTACAGACGATGAAAGCGATATGGCGGGTAGACCAAGCACTCCCACGCAGATTAGTAATACTGTTCGTCCGATTGAGGATTTAGCAGCGGTAGATGTCAAACCTGCCGACCTGTATTCTCACACTTTTTGGCATGCGCAAAACTCAATTAAACTTACCGCCGAGTGTATCCATCCGCGGCGCAGATGGGGGGCTAAACTAGGTGCCTAGGACTCACGAGCAAATTAGTTGGAGGAGGTTGCAGGAGATGCGGTAGCTGCTGCTCGTGAGTCCCAGCCATCTAGTTTAGCCCCTATCCGTGCCACACATAGCGGCGCGGGGGATACAGTCGGCGGTGGGGTACAGTCACAGAAACAGGTCCACAAGTAACATATCGCTGAGACCCTGTTAAAGCATTTGTTTCATTATACGGAGCCGGCATATTTTTAATAGAACTGAGCCCCATTTGGATATTTTATGGTCGCCATAATATTATTATGCCCTTCGGAGGAGAGCCATAACTTTTTCATTTTCTTTCTTTACTCTTTACTTCGAGTCCAAAGCAGTACACTTACGCAACAAACAATGTAGCCCCCCCCCCCCCCCCCCCCCCCCCCCCCCACTCAATACTGTTAATTACAGTAACTAATTACATAATATCGAGGGAAAAAATGCATAGAACAGAACGGAAAAGGGGAATCAACTGGGGCCCTAGATGACATAAAATTGCAGCACATCATCTCAGCATGATACAGTTTTGCTACTGTTTTTAAAAAAAAAATCTAAGTTATAGGCCTTCAACCAAGCTGTCATATCCATATATCCTTTGTAATTTTGTTCAAATCATTCCATGGCTGCTTCTGTCTTCTCTGTGCATGTATTTTGTGTGTGTATGTGTAAATATTATCTTATTGCTTTGACCTTCTGTGCATAAACCAAAAAACTTTGCACAATCCAAATGACAAGTTCTTCTTTTTCTTCCCGTTCACCAGCTGTAAACTCCAGCAGAAAGTTCTGGTTGTTTGTCCACATCCCGACTGCAGTCCTGTTCCAGAACCTGAATGTTACATGTGCATCTGTTTGACAGATTTAACTAATTTGTATGCAGACTGTTGGTTCCTAGCCCCTCAGGCAGATGCACTCCGACTTCAAGAAAGCTCCCAATGAGTCGACTCTTACAACATGCTTTTGGGTAGGCGGTGGGTCTATTCTTATTTTCCCTATAATACGGGACAAATGACAAGTAATCCTAATGACCCAAAAAAATAGTGTTTTTTGTAAATTTAGCATTTCATTTATGTTTTCACCTACACATTGCATTTAGTCTTGTAAATTAATTTATGTATTTAATTCCTCCTTTCTCTTTTTTGATTTTAGGGGATGAAAGAGAGCCTTCAAAGACAAAGTATAGTTCAGTGGTATGTTGATACCTATTGTCTCATATATTAAGGAACATCTTTTGAGCATTTTGTTAATTTCTTCTGGGTGCATCTTGGTAAAGATTCGACATCCAGTATTCTTCTTCTTCTTCTTTGCATTCACCAGCTGTAAACTCTGGAGGACAGTTCTGGTTGTTCATCCACCTCTGGACTTTACACTTGTTCTAGAACCTGAGTGTTGCCTGCACATCCATTTTATAGATCTTTCCTATTTGTATGCAGACTGTTTGTTCCTTGCCTTTCAGGCAAATGCACTCCGACTTCAAAGTCAAAACTCCCAGTCAGTCGACTCTTATGATATGCATGTTTGGGAGGCAGCTAGTCTATTCTTGTTTTCCTCACAGTGGGGCCCTGAAACCCACACAGGGAATCCAGCATTGAGTACAAGGCCATATTAGTTCCGTCACGCTCCTCAGCAGCCAGTAAAAAGTCTCTATGCTGATAGTGCCTGTTGTCATCTGATTAAATACTTGTCTTGCCTTTCCTGTGAGTTGAGAATAGTGCTCAGAGCCCGCAGACATTCTCCGCTACATCCTTCTTACAGATTTCTCGGTGTCTTCCATTTTTCTTGTTACCTTGCTCTACATGCTAGAGATCACCTCTGCCTTGTGCAGTTGCAGTACACCCCCAAATGATGCCAGTCTAGCTGGCCTATCTGCCTTCTCATTTTCAAGCATGCATACACAGCCCAGGCAAAATACCCATGTGCCGACTGCGACCTCTGGATGGATGCGACCCATTCCATACAAAGAAAACCTGACTCCACCTTCCTGAACATTTTTTGTGAATCCGATACTATGACAACATGTGGGGTTCAGCTGTCTGGCTATATTTTCTATTCCAGGATATTGTTTGTCTAATTCGTTATGTTCCATTAAATTTATTTATACATCTTGGTTTAATTGTAGACTGTGCACGCACCAATCGGCACTTAATGAATCATATAGGCAGCTTGGTGGTCCAGCCCTAGTGTTGCTGCCAGCATGGATGCTGTCCCAACCTCAGTAAGACTTGCTGTCCAAACCTCAGTGAGGCTTGCCGACCCAACCTCAGTGAGGCTTGCTGTCCCAACCCCAGTGAGGCTTGCTGTCCCAACCTCAGTAAGGCTTGCTGTCCCAACCTCAGTAAGACTTGCTGTCCAAACCTCAGTGAGGCTTGCCGACCCAACCTCAGTGAGGCTTGCTGTCCCAACCTCAGTGAGGCTTGCTGTCCCAAGCCTAGCTAGACTTGCTGTCCAAAACTCAGTGATGCTTGCTGTCCCAATCTTAGCAAGGCTTACTGTTCCAATCTTAGCAAGACTTACGGTCTCAATCTTAGCAAGGCTTACTGTCTCAATCTTAGCAAAGCTTGCTGTCCCAATCTTAGCAAGGCTTACTGTCTCAGTCTTAACAAGGCTTACCGTCTCAGTCTTAGCAAGGCTTACTGTCTCAGTCTTAGCAAGACTTGCTGTTGCAATCTTAGCAAGACTGACTGTCTCTATCTTATTAAGACTTACTGTCCCAATCTTAGCAAGGCTTGCTGTCCCAATCTTAACGAGATTTGCTGTCCCAATCTTAGCATGGCTTGCTGTCCAATGTGAGGCTTGCTGTCACAACCTCATCAGGAACTGTGTCTCAACAAGCTTTTGCTCTGTATGTGAAAAATGATGTAATGCTATTTTAGTTGTATTGGTACGCTTCATTAACACATAAGTTTTAATTTATCTGACAGGGCACAATTTATCCTTTCACATCATCTCACAACCACACAGCTTTAGGGGGTGCTTGTCCGGGAATGCGCTAAGCTTGTCCAGCTGCAGGAGGTAATCTAGAACTATGTATCATGTTCTATCACCTGTATGATGTTGTAAAGGGTCTGATTGTATGATTTTTATGACTGAAGGATGTTGTGAAGGGTATAACTGAAGGATGTTGTGAAGGGTATGATTGTATGATGTTGTGAAGATATGATTGTTTAATATTGTGAAGGTATGATTGAATGATGTTGTGAAGGTATCAGTTCTCATTATGCCTAGTGGCACATGAGGCTTCAGAGAGGACTTTCCATGTTTTCCTGTCCTGTGCAATCTTCAGTGCAGTTTTCCATGTCAAAGAGGCTGCATTCAGGTCACTCTCCATCGTTCGTCTCCATGTTGTTTTTGGGCACCCCTGTTTTCTCTTTCCCTCTGGTGTCCATGTGAGAGCTGTTTTGGCAGGTATAACAGGATTAATTCTCATAACGTGGCCAAGCCATTTCCATGTGAAGGTATAATTGTTTGATATTGTGAAGGTATGATTGTATGATTTTGTGAAGGTATGATTGTTTGATATTGTGAAGGTATGATTGTATGATTTTGTGAAGGTATGATTGTTTGATGTTGTGAAGGTATGATTGTTTGATGTTGTGAAGGTATAAATGTATGATGTTGTGAAGGTATGATTGTATGCTGTTGTGAAGGTATGATTGTATGATGTTGTGAAGGGTCTGATTTTAGGATGTTGTGAAGGTATAATTGTATGATGTTGTGAAGTTATGATTGTATGCTGTTGTGAAGGTATGATTGTATGCTGTTGTGAAGGTATGATTGTATGATGTTGTGAAGGGTCTGATTTTAGGATGTTGTGAAGGTATAATTGTATGATGTTGTGAAGTTATGATTGTATGATGTTGTGAAGGGTCTGATTTTATGATGTTATGAAGGGTATGATTGCATGATGTTGTGAAGGCAGTATGGTATGTATGAGAGAGATTAATTACCTGAATCCTGCTATGAATATAGTAAATATGCATGTATGATTGATTACCTGAATCCTACTGTGAAAGTAGAAATGTGTGCGTGCGTGCACTGATATGAGTGTGTGTGTGTGATTACCCATATGATACATTGAGAGTAAGATGTGGAGAAAAGTCAATCTCTTTTTTGGTTATGCATGAATGTGGTGGACACAAAACAAAGGAAAAACACACAAGTTTCAGTGATTGTTCATTTGCTCAATTGTAACTTGACATTTGCTTGTTGCAGGAAAGATAGACTGACTGATTCATTTTGTTTCTGTTCATTTGCTCAATTGTAACTTGACATTTGCTTGTTGCAGGAAAGATAGACTGACTGATTCATTTTGTTTCTGTTCATTTGCTCAATTGTAACTTGACATTTGCTTGTTGCAGGAAAGATAGACTGACTGATTCATTTTGTTTCTGTTCATTTGCTCAATTGTAACTTGACATTTGCTTGTTGCAGGAAAGATAGACTGACTGATTCATTTTGTTTCTGTTCATTTGCTCAATTGTAACTTGACGCTTGTTGCAGGAAAGATCTGACTGATTCATGTTCTTTCTGTTCATTTGCTCAATTGTAACTTGACAATTGCTTGTTGCAGGAAAGATCTGACTTATTCATTTTGTTTCTGTTCATGTGCTCAATTGTAACTTGACATTTGCTTGTTGCAGGCCAAGAAGATCATGTTCTTCCTTGGATTTACCACAATGACAACGTGCGTGCTCTTGTACTGGTCTCATACGACAACCAGCATGGGTAGGAATCCTCAAAATTTGTTTCTTTCTCTACTACTTCTTCATGTTCTCCGGCTTTAAACTCCAGTGGGAAGTTCTGGTTCCTCGTCTACTTCTAGACTTTTGTCTTTTTCCAGAACTTGAGTTTTGTCTGCATAACTGTTTTACACATCTGGTTTATTTTGTTTACAAACTGTTGGTTCCTTGCCTCTCAGGCAGATGCATCCTGACTTGGTAGGAATTACAACCTAATCAGTGACCTTTTATGGCATGCTTGCTGGTGTTCTCCCCGCCTCTCCCCCCCCCCCCCCCCCCCACGCCAAATTTAGCCATGGAACCCACAAAGATACAAAAGCAGTATAATCTTTAGACTCTTTAAGGACTGTTAATCATCATCACGTGCCCCCTCCCGACTGGCGTAGGTTTTCATGCATCTCCACAGATCTCGGTCTCTTATCCTCTGGATAAATTCTACTGATATTATCCCTGTGTGCCATCGTCACAATCCATTCGTCATCATGTCTCTCTGTCTGCCTCTCATTCTTCTATCCCTAATCTTCTCAGTCGTCACAATATTCTCCAAAGTCTTCCCCCTCATCACATGACTTAAAAAAAGTGCTTGTCTTCTCTTTTATAGCTGTATATATTGATCTACTTTCATTAGCTTCTTTCAAGCAATCCTCGTTAGTTACTCTGGCAGTCCAAGGGATTCTTAACATTCATCTGAGAAGCCACATCTCCATCACCTCCTAGTTCTTATTAAAGTGTGCATTCACATTCCATGATTCACTACCATACAGTGTAATGAATGGAATACCCAAGGACGTAGAAGAAGTTCCTGAGTGTGACGGTTTAGGTTCAAGGGTCAGTAAAGAGAAAACCCAGGAAAGAGTGTATGAAGTAAGTGTGGTTTTTTTCTAAATACGGTTGAGCGATTAGAAGCGGAATTCTCAAAAACGAAGAGAAAGGATCGTTCAATCATACACTGGAAAAAACCAATCTTCTTTTCTTTAACATCGTATTTTGACTTCTATGAGTTCAGACATTGTTCGCCTTATACACACTCCATTAGGTAGTTCATTCTATTGCTGCTTTTTATTTGTTCTGAAATAACCACATCTTTTGTTTTGGCTTTAAAAATCTAGGGCTGACAATATGCAGTGAGGGTAGTTCCAGAAAAATGATCACAAGTGAGGGTAGTTCCAGAAAAATGATCACAAGTGAGGGTAGTTCAAGAGAAATGATCACAAGTGAGGGTAGTTCCAGAAAAATAATCACAAGTGAGGGTAGTTCCAGAAAAACGATCACAAGTGAGGGTAGTTCCAGAAAAATAATCACAAGTGAGGGTAGTTCCAGAAAAACGATCACAAGTGAGGGTAGTTCAAGAGAAATGATCACAAGTGAGTGTAGTTCCAGAAAAATGATCACAAGTGAGGGTAGTTCAAGAAAAATGATCACAAGTGAGGGTAGTTCAAGAAAAACGATCACAAGTGAGGGTAGTTCAAGAAGAACGATCACAAGTGAGGGTAGTTCAAGAAAAACGATCACAAGTGAAGGTAGCTCAAGAGAAATGATCACAAGTGAGGATAGTTCCAGAAAAATGATCACAAGTGAGGGTAGTTCAAGAAAAACGATCACAAGTGAGGGTAGTTCAAGAAAAATGATCACAAGTGAGGGTAGTTCAAGAAAAATGATCACAAGTGAGGGTAGTTCAAGAAAAACGTTCACATGTGAGGGTAGTTCAAGAAAAACGATCATAAGTAAGAGTAGTTCAAGAAAAACTATCACAAGATGACTCACAATTGACTCAACACAGCTTTTATTTGACCATGTCTTTTTGTTCTTCGCTAGTGGAGGGGGACTTTTTTTTTTTAATGACCTTGACTCCCAGGTCAACCCAACCTTGAGTGGGTACTGGGTGCAGTCCAGGGAAGTAAATGAGGTCTGCAGGATGCTGACCACATCACCCATCTTGTGCTGATTGGTCTATAAAAATATAGGTCCAGCCCTATATGCCCTATACGCCTAAAGGCGTGGAAAAGGGACTTTTACTTTTTGTCCTGACTTAAAGCTTGAACTTCAGATTTAGAAAGGTTAAATTATTTGCTGAGAAAGTTAAGAGAAAGAGACTTCAAATATGTTTTCAGTTTATTTTCCTGATTATTCATTAATCTGTTTTCCTTTTTTTCCCTCCACAGCTCTGACTGCATTTAGCTTTCTTTTGATAATTGACATCCTCAGGTTTGTCTGATTTTTTTTCCCTCTTAATTTGTCTGGTTGTCTTGTTTGTTTTTTGAATTGTGTTTTGAAAGTTGATGCTGGTAACAAAATATATTTTTGTTTATTACTTACCAGAAATTGTTAAGGGGACAGCAAACTTGATAGTAACACACTCATTTGGAAGGCTTTTTGACTGTGCCCAATGTGGATTTTGTTGTGAACTGCAGAATGGGCAAGTAGCCTGTTGGCAGAGATAAGTGGTGGTGCCTTATGCAATTAATTGTGTGTGCAACTACTGATCTTTTGTAACAGCTGCTTTCATTGATGATGATCTACATTTCTATTGTTGGACTGTTTGTGCTGGCATTTCTGGTGCCTGCCTTATGCATTTTATATGTATGTATACTACTGTCTCGCTATATCTAATCAGGTGCATACTGCAGAAACAATTAAATAAATTAAGGAAATAAATTAATCCTTTTGACTAAAATACCAAATTGACCAAACACAAAATGAGCTTCCTCTTTTACCAGGGCAAAATTCAGGTTCACAACCATGTCTTTTTGTCTGCACAATTTAGCATTATTTTATTCAATTGATGCTATAGTTTATGTTATGTGGCATTGATATTCATGCTTGTCTACAACCTTCTATCTGATATACTTTGAAGAAATGTACTTGTAAGAAGATAAGTACTTGGAAATAACGGGTGACTGCAGTTGGGTTATTATGAAGAATGAACTGAACACACCACACATACACAAACAAATTAACACACACAAATTAGAAAGCCCGATTGAGGAACGGAGACACAGACAGTAAGTTAACTTTTCAATCAAATTAAATGTCAGTGAACAAAACATTAGGAATACTTTACTAAAGGTAAAGGTAAGGTCGGGAGATGTAAACCAGCGTCATTGTACACGGTTATAAACCAGAAGTGCTCTGCCAACAGTACAGACAGCTGTTAAGAAACGGTTCGCTTGTGTCGCCATCTGCACGCAACTCCATAGCTACAACGACGTTCCTCCATTTACCCCAGAGTGTTAACTCTGGTACCCATTACCCAGAGGCTGAGTGAACACCGGGAACCGCCCGGTTTCAAACACCGGCCGTGGCTGCAGCCAGTCGCAGCTGGATTTGAAAGCGAGTCTCCTATCCTTCTGCGCTAACGCGGCCCTCTACAGATACAAAATAAAATGGCCCCCCTATAAAGTAATCTTGATGACAACAGCAACAAATTTAAATAACAATGGTTGTGTTTTCTTTCGTAAGTACTTATTGCCGTTATTTTCTGTTGATCTTCTTTTACAGCCTGCTCACATGCCTGTTGAGTGTGTGGATCCAGATGCAGCAGCCTGTTAGTACATATTCTTTTGGGTAAGTTCCCACTTTCGACCAGGGGTGTGTTGTGTCAACCATTTTTGATCAGATAAACACAATGTAATCATGCATTTAGAGCAAGACAAACAAATGTTCTGTAACACATCTGCATGAAGGTGTATGCAGAAAGTTCTTCACCAATTGATTTGAAATTTTGAGACAACTTTGCATTAGAATACGCGCATGTTTTTATATGAGTGTTGCACAAAGCACGAACTACGTAGTTCCAGTGATGATCACATAGGCATCTTGTTTTTGTTTTCCAACGATCCGATTTCTTTTTCGTTGCAGAATTCCTGAACTTTGACTGTTGACCTCATAAATCTGCATACACCTGTATGATATAGTACATTTTTTTAGTTGTTGTGATGCTTGTGGTGGTAGTAGTAGTACTGGTAATCGATGCGTGATGTGGTAAATATTACACTGGCCACATTTACTTCTAATTAAAATTCCTGCTATCCATTTTAGTCTGGGTGGACACGGATGCCAAGGTCAGTTAAAAAAAAGGTTTGATGAATTTCAAATCCCTCGGAGAGGGAGAAAGGAGTTATCTGTGGATTGAGGTGAGGGGTATAGTGATGACAGCAGCTGTTAACTGAAAGAGCTGAAAACATTATTCAAATTTTCATTTTTAAAATTATTTATATTTTTATAATGCTACCTCAGCTGTTCTCGTTTTTTTTTTTTTTTGGGGGGGGGGGGGGGGGGGGTGTGTAAAGCGCACAGTAATTAACTTCACTTTGAACTGTAAAAAACATACAGAAAGCTTTACCATGTGATAGAGAAAGAACCACTTTATAAAGTCATAATGCTACACTATAAACAGCCGCTAATATAAGGACACAATTATATGTTGCGTGTTCTAGAGTCGGCAAACCAGACCATCTCTATATCTGCGCAGACTATGAATGTGAAATTAACTATGTTTGAAACATGAGCTTTTTATTTTCTTTCTTTTCCATTCAGCCAGACTGGGCTACAGCGATGCGTGGCCAGGTATATTTAGTACATTATAGTGGTGAAAGTAATATAGTAACATAATATGTTTTCACAAGAAAAAGAAATTATGTGGTTTTGATGAAAGACATGATGGTCTTATCCCCAGATATGAACGTTTTGAGGTGTTGGCGGTCTTCTCCTGCACAATGTTGGCACAACTCGGAGCTTTGTTTATTATAAAAGAAAGGTAAACACCCAAGCAGCATTTTTGTTCAGTTTCCATCTGCTTATACTCCCCACTTTGTGTTTGTCATGTCTTCCACAGTCTTCTGTCTCATCCACTCATGATCATTTATGATACTTTCTGCGTGCGTTTCAGGGCCACCTAACGAGCGTCTCATATAAGGACGAATAATTAGGTACGTTTCCTTCGAAAATAATTGCATTTGTCTGAAAGCTGAGCGACCAATTCTCTGCATATACAAATAAGCCAGATCTGTACAACAAATGTGCATACAAAGCCCGAATTCTGGAACAAGACCAAAGTTCATAAGTGGACAAACAACCAGAATTTTCTTCAGATGAATGCAAAAAAAGATTTCTGATACATAAGTTTTTAACCATGTCGGGATTAGATCAACATTCTACAACACAGCTGCTACACGGACATACTGTGTATGTTCATATTTGAGTGCAGACTTCAGAGAGGGAGAAAAGTGAATGATGTATATTATGTGTGTGTGTGTGTGTGTTTAGTGTTCAGTGAAGTGTGTCTCTGCTAATAAACATATGACATGTGAAAGTGTTGAGTATACCCGTGTGTGAACAGAATGAAAGCTGAGGTGAGCAGATTGTTAGGCAGGTCTGTTTGTTCAGTTTTAGATAACTTGAGATTTTATTTTATTTCTCTTTTTTCTTTCTTTCTTTCTTTCTTTCTTTCTTTCTTTCTTTCTTTCTTTCTTTCTTTCTTTCTTTCTTTCTTTCTTTCTTTCTTTCTTTCTTTCTTTCTTTCTTTCTTTCTTTCTTTCTTTCTTTCTTTCTTTCTTTCTTTCTTTCTTTCTTTCTTTCTTTCTTTCTTTCTTTCTTTCTTTCTTTTTTTCTGTTTTTCTTTCTTTAAAAACAAAGCTTGAATTATTACAAGTGTAAAGTCAGTGCAATCATATTCCCAACATATTATGTCTTCTTCCTTTCAGCGTGGAGCGGCTGCTGTTCCCCCCAGAGGTTCACACGTAAGTTTGTCCAGAAACATTTAGATTCCATCTTATTATGGGCCTTAGTTAGTCAACCGATTATCTTCATTGCGCATCCTGTACTGCCTTCTTTCACTATTCTGGACTACCCTCTTTCACCATTCTGTACTGCCCTCTTTCACCATTCTGTACTGCCCTCTTTCAGCATTCTGGACTGCCCTCTTTCACCATTCTGTACTACCCTCTTTCACCATTCTGTACTACCCTCTTTCACCATTCTGTACTACCCTCTTTCACCATTCTAGACTACCCTCTTTCACCATTCTGTACTACCCTCTTTCACCATTCTAGACTACCCTCTTTCACCATTCTGTACTACCTTCTTTCACCATTCTAGACTACCCTCTCTCACCATTCTAGACTACCCTCTTTCACCATTCTATACTATCCTCTTTCACCATTCTGTACTACCCTCTTTCACCAATTAAGACTACCCTCTTTCACCATTCTAACTACCCTCTTTCACCATTCTGTACTACCCTCTTTCACCATTCTGTACTACCCTCTTTCACCATTCTGTACTACCCTCTTTCACCATTCTGTACTACCCTCTTTCACCATTCTGTACTACCCTCTTTCACCATTCTGTACTACCCTCTTTCACCATTCTGTACTGAATGCTGCAATCAATTCTAATAATAGTGGTAACTCTCTTCTTGAGTTGACTTTCTTCCAGTTCTAGTGACAGTTTTTGAGTCTGTTTCAGAGTTCAGGGAAAGATATAAAACCGTACGGAAAGTGTATTATCAAGCTTCACAATAATAAGAGGGAGTCTCAGTGGCAGAGCGGCTAGGCGCGCGGAAGGTCATGGGTTCGCTCCCTAGCGGAGCCGGACTTTTCTTCAAAAATGGCCTTGGCTCACAGGTCGACCCAGCTTTGAGTGGGTACCGGGAGCAGTCCAGGGAAGTAGAGGCGGCCGGCGTGATGCTGACCATATCACCCATCTTGTGCCTTTGGTCTACAAAATATAGGTCTAGCCCTGTATGCCCTATATGCCTAAAGGCGTGGGAAAGGGTCCTTTATCTTTTTTACTTATAATATAACAAACAAAACGCGAACATTGCGGCTATGGAGCCTTCAGAGTTCATGCTATAGTGGTCTTAGTTATGTTGTCAGGTTCAATTTGCTTGCTTTGCCGTGATTGTAATCCCTACATTAAAATCTAGGGCCTTTGTGTTAGATAAAGTCCACAGAGACGTATTGACTATTAACCCTTTTGTACCGTGAATGCTAACAAAACTTGGTAATGAATCCATAGGAGTTTCAAGAAAATCCTTTAGAAACATCAACACCAAATTAAACAGGTCACTAATGAATTTTGTAAACATTTATTTACATAACAAATTTTTCAGAAATACATAAAGATATCTAAAGGGATAATCAGTAAACAAGCAGAATGAAGCATTAAATGGAATACACTTCTACTTCTTCGAGTTCACTGGCTGTTAACACTGGCAGAAAGTTTTGGTTGTTCATCCACCTCTCGACTATAGACTTGTTCCAGATCTCGAGTGTTGCTTGCACATAGGTTTTATATGTCTAGCTTAATTTGTATGCAGACTGTTGGTTCCTTGCCTCTCAGGCAGATGCACTTTGACTTCAAACGAAGCCTCCAATTAGTTGACTCTTATGACGTGCTTTTTTGGGGAGGCAGGGGGTCTATTCTTATTTTCCCTCACAATTGGGCCCTGGAACCCAAAAGGGGAATGATGGTTATATCTAATGCCTTTTTTAAACTTCATTTTCTGGAAGAAGAGTTTGTATTTTCTTCCAGGGGGCGACTGTTGGTGGCCACAGCCTTTGGTCTCTTTGTGCATCTGTCAGTGATATATGCTGTCCGAAACCGGGCTTTCAGTCACGTCATCGACGCTTCCAGCTCCAGCTGGCTTCAGGAACACGTCACAGACATGAGTGAAAGGTACCGGCTTTCTCCTGCCATGTTTTAGTCAGGTTTATGACAGTAAGAGTAGGTTACCTTTTATGTAACAATAAAAAAAAATATATACTGTTTTGAAAAAAAATTGCAGTTATTTGATGGCACGTTTTTTGTAATTGACGCTTAAAAACTAACAATTGATGACCCAGGTGCAAATAAAAATTACAATAAAACTTGTCAGTCCATCGTTTGAACCCTTAGTTATTTTGTGTGCAATTTAAATAATGTCACTCATAGATATTACAAATATTTTGAATGTCAGAATTGCGTTCTTTTCTATGCATTTTGATTAATTTAATTCTAAAAAATGTTTATATAGTATAGTTGTATGTCCTTTACAGAATGTCATGCATCCCCCAGCATTTTTCGGCTCTTTGTGGTTTTACTAGTCAATTTTATGTTCGGTAGTTTGCCATTGTTTCACAACTCTGATGCTGTAAACAGGCACAACACAATTATGTTCATTCAAACGAACGAAAAGAAGAACTTAAGTTTGTAAATTTGTGTGTGAAGAAAACTAAAAAGAGAGCAGAACTCTTCGGCAGACAAGAGGACACAGTCACCTTCTTGTCGACAGAAGCTGTATTACAGACAGATCTTGAGATTATTTATACAAGTAACAACATCTTTGACTCATTGACAATGTCAGTGTAGGTTAGGCTTAACTCTTTCAGTACCAAGGAACGCAACGTATGTTCATAGATTCCTACCTAGAAGCTTAATGAATGCAAGATGCGCTGATTTTACCTCTCTTGACTACTCCTTGGGCCTCTGATGCTAAACCCCTGGAACTGAAAGAGTTATGGCCCCCATGTCCATACCTTGGGATGTAGCGGGCATACGGTAAAATCTCCGTACTTTAACTGGCACACTGGTGCTCAGTGGATGACGTGATCAGCATCACACATGTCACTTTTACTTCCCAGAACAATTTTAGCTACCCATTCTAGACTGGAGAGGTGTTGTATTTACTTGTAACTCACAAAATGCAAGGACTTTACAGATTTCCTGACTTTCACACAGATGAAATAGGAAACAAAGTTTCAGCAAAGGACCATTTTCATGCCTTTGGCACCTTGGACATATGGTGCTAAATCTGTATCTGTATAGGCCAATACGCACTTCATGGGTGATGGGGTCATTACATTCCAGCCGCCTTTACTTCCTGGGACTTTACCTGGTACCCATTTTAGACTGGATCAACCTGGGAGCTAAGTTAGTTTTTGAAAAAAAAAAAAAAACTCTGACTTCATGCGAGTTTGAACCTACAACTTTTTGGTTCGAAGGCAAGCATTTAACTGCTACAACACTGGCTGCAAGATGAAATTGTAGTTACGTTAATCTTTTAAAGCAGCCATAAAACAGTGATAGTTTATTGGCTGTGTGTGTTGACTGGCTGTGTGTTTACTGACCATGCATTTATTAAACGTGTTTGTTGACTTTTGTTTGAATATTGATTTATTTCAGCCTGTGTTCAATTGTCCCTGGACTGAGCAAGCTACTACTCCCAAGAATTAACCCCTTCTCTCTAATAGGCTTCACATGTAGCTGTGCAATACTAGTGACATACCTCCTCATTGATACCCAGTAAGTTTCTATGTTCAGTTCTCAAAAACTCACTGATTGTTACATTAAATGTGGCATGGTGACCTCTGTCACAGGCCTCCAGAAAAATCTCCAGTTTGAAATGACATCAGTATTTTATTTATATGTATATATAAAAACAATACACATGCATTTCAAAAAATTTCCATGCAGATTTCTCTCCATTCTATTTTCAGTGTAGTTGTGTATTTCTGTGCACAAATAGTCCTTGAATTATGAACCACATTCGTTCTTAATCAACTGCACACCAGTGGCGTCTGTTCTCTGACTGGCCATTTAGCATCAAGTCTCTCATTGTAGCTGATGATCTTAATTAACTAGGACTTATTTTGGGGGGTAGGGCTTATGTTAAAAGATTTCTGAAAAATCGTGCAAGGGCTTATTTTTGAAGTTGGTCTGAATTTCCGGGAAAAACAGTAAGAAAAGTGAGACTTTAGTCTATCACGTATATCATATACCGCTGGGGAACCTCGGAGCCATCAAAACACCATGATGAACATATTGTCTTTTATTGATTGACACTCACATATGTACAAGAAAGAAGTACAGATAGAAGGAACTAGATCAGTAGTTTTTAACCTTTTTTCAGTTACTGCCCCAGTTTGTTGTTGTTGTTGTTGTTATCGATCTAGCGGCACGTGAGCTTTCGCCCTCTAGCCCAATGCCATGTAGTGGAATGTGCATGTTTTCACAAGCTGTTCTTTTTGTCCATACATGGTGTTCCACTTGTCTGGTCTCAGAGGGAGTAGCATTCCTCTAGTCTCGCCGAGGGGCACTCAAAGAGATGGTGTTCAACAGTTTTGTAAGGGTAGTTACATAGCTGGCACTCTATGGAGTGTTGTGGCTGTATTCTGTTTAGATGTTCATTGAGTGGAATGTGTTGTATTCTGAGTCTGAAGATGGTGGCCTGGTCTTTTCTTGTTAGATGGTTAATGCTGTCATTAGGACCCAGTTTAAAAAAATTTAATTAAAAAGAAGAGGACAAAAAGAGGTCACATAGAAAGTATGGAGATACGTTTTGATCAAAAATATGTTCTTAATTTATTATGAATGCATGTTATCTTATTAATTCAGTTTTTAATGTCCTATTAATTGGATTTTTAATGTCCTATTAATTGGATTTTTAATGTCCTATTAATTGGATTTTTAATGTCCTATTAATTGGATTTTTAATGTCCTATTAATTGGATTTTTAATGTCCTATTAATTGGATTTTTAATGTCCTATTAATTGGATTTTTAATGTCCTATTAATTGGATTTTTAATGTCCTATTAATTGGATTTTTAATGTCCTATTAATTGGATTTTTAATGTCCTATTAATTGGATTTTTAATGTCCTATTAATTGGATTTTTAATGTCCTATTAATTGGATTTTTAATGGTCTGTTAATTAGATTTTAAATAGCCTATTAATTACATTTTTAATAGCGGCCTATTAGTTACATTTTTTATAGCGGCCTATTAATTAGATTTTTTATGGCCTAATAATTCAATTTTATATAGCTGCCTATTAATAAGATTTTTTAATGGCCTGTTAATTAGACTTTTAATGGCCTATTAATTCAGTTTTAAATGGCCTATTAATTAGATTTTAAATAGCTGCCTATTAATTAGATTTTTAATGGCCTAATAATTCAGTTTTAAATGGCCTATTAATTAGATTTTTAATAGTAGACTGTTCATGAAAACAAAAAACATCCTTGTTGTACAGGCAGTACTACCTGGCAGACCCGTGGGCAGCTATGGCTATAGCCTTCATGATGTTTGGTACCATGTTTCCCATGAGTGCCTACACTGGTAAAATACTGCTGCAGGTAAGAGAGAGAGGGAGGGAGAGAGAGAGAATCTGAATATCAGTGTGATTGTCAAGTCTGATAAAGTATGCACAGAAATTGAGAGAGAGAGAGAGAATGAATCTAAATATCAGTGTGACTGTCAAGTCTGAAAAAGTATGCACAGAAATTGAGAGATGAAGAGAGAGAGAGAGAGAGAGAGAATGAATCTAAATATCAGTGTGACTGTCAAGTCTGAAAAGTTATGCACAGAAATTGAGAGAGAGAGAAATGAATCTAAATATTAGTGTGACTGTCAAGTCTGAAAAAGTATGCACAGAAATTGAGAGAGAGAGAGAGAGAGAGAGAGAATGAATCTAAATATCATTGTGACTGTCAAGTATGAAAAGGTATGGACAGAAATTGAGAGATGAAGAGAGAGAGAGAGAGAATGAATCTAAATGTCAGTGTGACTGTCAAGTCTGAAAAAGTATGCACAGAAATTGAGAGAGAGAGAGAGAATAATTCTAAAAATCAGTGTGACTGTCAAGTCTGAAAAGTTATGCACAGAAATTAAAAGAGAGAGAGAATGAATCTAAATATCAGTGTGACTGTCAAGTCTGAAAAAGTATGCACAGAAATTGAGAGAGAGAGAGAGAGAGAGAGAGAGAGAGAGAGAGAGTAATTCTAGAAATCAGTGTGACTGTCAAGTCTGAAAAGTTATGCACAGAAATTGAAAGAGAGAGAGAGAATGAATCTAAATATCAGTGTGACTGTCATGTCTGAAAAAGTATGCACAGAAATTGAAAGAGAGAGAGAGAGAGAGAGAGAGAATGAATCTGAATATCAGTGTGACTGTCATGTCTGAAAAAGTATGCACAGAAATTGAAAGAGAGAGAGAGAGAGAATGAATCTGAATATCAGTGTGACTGTCAAGTCTGAAAAAGTATGCACAGAAATTGAGAGAGAGAGAATGAATCTAAATGTCAGTGTGACTGTCAAGTCTGAAAAAGTATGCACAGAAATTGAGAGAGAGAGAGAGAGAGAGAGAGAGAGAGAATGAATCTGAATATCAGTGTGACTGTCAAGTCTGAAAAAGTATGCACAGAAATTGAGAGAGAGAGAGAGAGAGAGAGAATGAATCTGAATATCAGTGTGACTGTCAAGTCTGAAAAAGTATGCACAGAAATTGAAAGAGAGAGAGAGAGAGAGTGAATCTGAATATCAGTGTGACTGTCATGTCTGAAAAAGTATGCACAGAAATTGAAAGAGAGAGAGAGAGAGAGAGAGAGAATGAATCTGAATATCAGTGTGACTGTCAAGTCTGAAAAAGTATGCACAGAAATTGAGAGAGAGAGAATGAATCTAAATGTCAATGTGACTGTCAAGTCTAAAAAAGTATGCACAGAAATTGAGAGAGAGAGAGAGAGAGAGAGAGAGAGAGAGAGAGAGAGAGAGAGAGAGAGAGAGAGAGAGAGAATGAATCTGAATATCAGTGTGACTGTTAAGTCTGAAAAAGTATGCACAGAAATTGAGAGAGAGAGAGAGAGAGAGAGAGAGAGAGAGAGAGAATGAATCTGAATATCAGTGTGACTGTCAAGTCTGAAAAAGTATGCACAGAAATTGAAAGAGAGAGAGAGAATGAATCTGAATATCAGTGTGACTGTCAAGTCTGAAAAAGTATGCACAGAAATTAAAAGAGAGAGAGAGAGAATGAATCTGAATATCAGTGTGACTGTCAAGTCTGATAAAGTATTCACAGAAATTGAGAGAGAGAGAGAGAGAGCGAGCTTGAATATCAGTGTGACTGTCAAGTCTGATAAAGTATGCACAGAAATTAACCAGTGTTAATTTCATACAGAAATATCCTTCCACATGAGAAGTAACACCAGTCAGTTTTACAAAACCACAATCACAAAAATGAAGTGTGTTTTTGTTGTTGTTTGCATTCACCGCCTGTACACCCCGGCAGAAAGACTTCTGGACTTTGGCTTTGTTCCAGGACCTGAGTCTTGCGTGTGCATCTGTTTTACAGATCTAGCTTATTTGTATGCAGACTACTGGTTCCTTGCCTCTCAGGCAGATGCAGTCCAACTTTGAAGGAAGCCCAATTTAGTCAACTCTTCAGACATTCTTGTTGGGGAGGCAGTGGGTCTGTTCTTGTTTTCCTCACAACGGGACCCCGGAACCCGTACAGGAAAAATGAATAAAGTTTTCTTTGGGGCTTTTTCTTTAGTATCCCAAGCACTTGAGGTTCATTGCTGCAGACATCACCAGCCTCCATCATCTTTGTGGTTAGTCCTTTTTTGGTTTTATAGGTGAATGATGAGAATACCCTGACAGATAAAAAGAGTAATTAAGATGTTTTGAAAGAAACTGATTCACCAAGAGAACTGATTGCCCACATCAGGAAGAGACAGTCTACATTCTTTGGTCATGTGATGTAAAATGTAAAAAGCAAAGGACCCTTTTCCACACCTTTAGAGGTATAGGGCATATAGGGCTAGACCTATATTTTTATAGACCAACGGCACAAGATGGGTGATGCGGTCAGCATCATGCCGGGTCATGTGATGAGGAGAAAACTGGAGCACATCGTAACAGCAAGAATGTTGGAGGGGAAGAGAGGCAGGCAAAGGGAGACCGAGAAAAAAGATGCTAGATGGTTTGACATCATGGCGTGGAGGATCATCTGTATCAGAAGGTTGTGGATAGACATGACTGTCAGCGCCACATGGCACGGACTTTAAAAAGAACATTTGAATTTCTTTGTATCCAGAGTAGAAATTAAGTTTATGTAGGAGTGTGATTGTTAATTCCAGTGAGATCCCCGTGTGGGTTCCAGGGCCCTATTATAGGGGGAAAAAAGGAATAGACCCACTGCCTACCCAGAAGCATGTCGTAAGAGTCGACTAATTGGGAGCTTCCTTTGAAGTCGAAGTGCATCTGCCTGAGAGGCAAGGAACCAACAGTGTATACAAATGAGTCAGATCTGTAAAACTGATGCACTCGCAACACTCAGGTTCTGGAATAGGACTGCAGTAGAAAAGTGGATGAACAACCAGAACTTTTCCGTTAGAGTTTACAGCTGGTGAACGCAAAGAAGAAGAAGAATTCCAGTGAGAAAGGATCTGTGTGAGTTGAATTTAGCAGTTTGATCTCTGTCCATAGACCACCCCATCTCACATTCTAAGCCAACTGGACAAAGTACTCAGGGAGGCATCTACGCTGGATGGTGTGCTGGAGTTCCGCCATGAGCACTTCTGGACCCTCTCCTTTGGGTGCTTGGTGAGTCTTCTGCATGTTTTGTGACCTAACTCCGACCCTTTCACCAGGACGTGATAGGTGCCTTCATTCTACACTTTCATTGTTAATGCTTCAGTGGTTTCATTCTTACCTCTACACCCCAAGGTAGAAGAGGAGCGGCTAAATAAGTAAGGTTTGATTCTTTAGATGTTTAATGTTTCTGGGTTTTTTTTAAATTATGCCGCCGCCCCTCCCCCCCCCCCCCCCCATTCCTTTTTTTCTCTCACTAAGTTGAGCTATGAGTTACAAACGGCAACCAGGACATTCCCAAAAGCACTCCATCTCCATCTTCAGCAACTTGTGCAAAGTTTTATTTAAGATGGTACCAGTAACACTCTTTACCACCCCTCCCCTAAGTGTTACAGATAAAGAGCCTTGCTTGATAGGTGTCAGACACGACCGAGCTGCCGTATAACAGTAGTCAGTACCACCTGTCCCCTGTTGACATTGAATGTTTGGTAGCGTATACCAAACATTGTGTGGCTTTTGGGAGGATACCAGTCTTACCCTAGCAAGAGGAAATACAACCTGAAAACCTAATGGTATGGCAGGGCACACCCGGCCCTTAGACTTGGCTGGGCAATTGGTTAGTTAGTTAGTTAGTTGGGTTATCATCATTGCACTCCGGACATGTCCAAAGGTGCTCAGATCCTCCCCTCAGTATGAACCCCAACGTCCTATGGCTAATAGTACCAGTTCTATGTTGATTAACAAGGTGGGCAATTGGTTTAGTAGGTAAGCCTTGACAGGCTGACAGAGCACTACCGCTATTCAGATCCGGCAGCTTCTGCAGCATACTTTGTTACAGATGTATTGGTGTGTGATCTTTCCTTTGGAGTAAATGAAGCAGGCCTAGTGAGGGATCATGCTGCCTGGGCAACACATGATCTCTACAGTACTGCCCGGACATTCACGCCCAGAACACATCATTTACACAGATGAATCCGGGAAGCGTGGGTCAAGATCAGCATGGGTATACACAGCTCAAAGGATCCGAGAAACAGAGAGGGTAGCGGCACTAACCAGACAACTACGTCAAGCATGACCATGGAGATAATGCTGCTTCCAGAGCACATGTGGGTAGAAAGAAGAATAAGCGGCCACACATGCAATAATGTTAGACTCATTGAACATGCTTCAGAAAATCGCTACAGGTAGTCTCCCCTCCGAATGGGTAGAAAGCATTCGGAAGTTGCAGTTAACCTCCTTTATCTGGATCTACACACCTGGGCATGCAGGAGTACATGGTAATGAAAGAGCTGACCAGCTGACGAGTAATGCACCAATGCAAATGGGAAGAAGCATGGACAGAGCTGATATCATCAATGCTGTACAAGAGTAGGTTGGGGGATAATGGTGAATCTCTGATGCTAACATGACTGCATGACTGAGGAGTTGAGCTTGGTGAAGCACTTGAGCTTGGTGAAGCACGTCTATGCCGTCTTGGAGGTAAAGACAGGAGATACTATAACCAACTCCTCAAGGGAACAATCAGTAAAGGTACCTTGGAGTGGCTGCTGCATTGGAGGACTGAACATGCATAGGGATGCCCAGTGTGCAGAGATGTTGATTGTGATAACTGCCCAGACTACCTGGGTTTGGCCGGCTCACTACACTCAGGGGAAAGGCCTGACGAACATTTAACCAGATTGTGACCGGTAACATCAGTATTGGAGCTCTGCGCTGGCTGCTGAAGATGAGGACGGAGCATGCGTGGGAATGCCCCGAGTGCTGTGATGTCAATTCTTGACTCAACTCAACTGCCCAGGCCTGGTGTTATATAGAGGATGAACCTCACCTCATCCCTATCCATGGAATGTGATTCCTATGTCTCCCTATAGCATAGCATAACACCCTCATCTGGAAAGATGCCAACGACATACTCCACATATGGTTTTTACTTGTCAGACAGCCCGGCTCTCTAGCGTAGTTGGCTAAAGCGGATTGCGCGGTGACGAACTCCTTGTGGTCCGGGTTCACTCCTGGGGGTAGGCAGAAAAGCCACATTTCTTCCAGATTTACGGTATTAACAATGGAATCAAGGCCGAAAGGTTGCGATATCCATAATACCGAGCCTAAGGGTTAACAACTCATGGCTTCTGGATACTAAAACAAACAAACAAACAAACTTGTCAGACAAGATATTCACAGTGCATCAAATTCCAGACATCCATGGTGGTTGGTAGATGTCTTAGTCTTAGTCGAGGTTTCAACTTCACCGCAATCCGGTCACCCCGTACTTGCTTCATTCATGTGCCGGTGAAAATCAAATGAAATGTCCCTCACTGTCACATTTGGAAAACTGGTGAACAAAGAATTAGTCCCTGCACAATACAGAAATATGCGCACACAGTAAATGCATAAGGCAGTTGCTAGAGGTGCCAAAGCTAACAGTCGCCACCAGAAATGCAGTTTATCATTGATGAAAGTAGTTATTAGATGCACTGCCACTGAACCTCTTAATGTTTTCAGGGCATATTGCTTTTAGAGTAGGCTATGCAACGTTTAAAATAAGGTGACTGGTGCTAATAAAATAATGTTCTCCCTTCTTCTCATCATAAGGTATTGGATGTGACAGCTATCTAACTTAAATAAAGGCAGAAAAGTAAAAAGCACCCACTTATGTGCACATTCCAAACACATAAAAAGCTCTCCCAGCAATTAATAACTGCAATATTAAGCTACTGTTTAGGCCAAATGTGAGCATCAGAAGAACTAGGCACACAAAAATGTAGATCGTATAAATTTATACACTTGGCTGAATTCCTTGTATGAGGTAAGTGAATCTCTTAACAAGGTCCCTTTTCCACGCCTTTAGGCATATTGGGCATATAGGGCTAGACAGATATTTTTTATAGACCAATCGGCACTCGTTGGGTGATGTAGTTAACACCATGCCGACTGCCTTTACTTCCCAGGATTGCACCTGGTACCCACTTGAGGCTGGGTCGACCTGGGAGTCAAGGTCATTTTGAAAAAAAAGTCTGGCTGCGTCAGGTTGTGAACCCACCACCCTCTGATCCGCAGGCGGGCATCTAGCAGCCAATGCCACAGCGACTCCCAGTCCCTTAACAAGGGGTCTTTGTAATTAAGGTAACGTTTTATAAAGCAAACAGCATTTTTGCTTTTAAAAAATATTTAAAGAAATTGTATTTGCATATCCTGTGAAGGATCTTGCAATTGTTGGCTGTTCACGTTTCAAAAGGCAGTTTTACATTCAGTATTTTGCCATTGCTTTCTAAATGCTCAGGCACTCATACCTTTGTAAAAAGTGGCCTATTGCCAGATCAACTGAAATCAAACTGAGTATGTCTGAATTATAAAACTGTGTTGCGAAATTCATGGCCAAAGATGTTTTGTTAGGTGTTGCAATAATGGTTTATCAAATTTTTTCTACTACAGGCAGGGTGTGTTCAGGTCAGAGTTCGTCGCGATGCAGATGAGCAATTGGTCCTGGCACACGTCTACAACCGTTTGAACAACCTCGTCTCCTGCCTGACCATACAGATCTTCAAAGATGACTGGAACCGCTCGTCCACCTACACCACTGCAGCTCTCGGCAGTCCGTCCTTCCCCGGAGCAATAGGGTTCCAGACCCCGCCGCGAGTTGCTTCTCCAACACACGATGTGATGTCTCCAGTGCATCAACCACCCATGCCAAACTACAGATTCAACCTTTCACATTAGGTCTTCTTCTTAGAGTTCCGATTTTTTTTTTCCCCCCTTTTCTAGACTTTGGTCTTGTTGCAAAACTTGAGTTTTGCTGTTGATTCATAAGACAGATCTGACTTATATTTATGTAGACTTTCGGTTTCTCACCTCTCAGGCATATTCACTCCAACTAGAAGGAAACTACCTAAGTAGTTGCCTTGTACAATAGGCTTGTTGGGGAGACACTAAGTCTAATGTGTCCCCCCCCCCCCCCCCCCCCCTCTTTCCTTTTTTTTTTTTCACAAGAGACGATGGGCATTCTGTGTTTTTCGCTGGCATAGGAATTATAGATGAGATGACCCGCTTGATGTGAAGTTGGAACCACAAGTAACTAGTTAACTGAAAGGGGAAAACCAAAGGAGTGATAGAGTAGACAACATTAATACTGGCCTAAACAGATACAGTGCAAGGACACTAACATATCAGGCCTTGGATTGCATGTTTAGGCATGTATAATATACCTGGGTTTATGATAGCCACACCATTGTTTTGTTGTCGAGATAGTAAGAATACTTTCTTATAAATATATATATATATATATACACTAGGGCTGTACCGAATATTCGCTTCGGGGCCGAATAGTGGACCTATTGACTATTCAGTATTCTGCCGAATAGTTGCAGTCGGGCCGAATACGAATAGTAGTTACCTTACACCCGCTTTTGCATACAGCCTTAATGCTGACAACATGGAACGATTGGTTTTGTTGAAAGCTAATGCAGCTTTCATGCAATAACTAAGCTGTCAGTGACAATTTCTAAGTTGAGTTACTTGTTATAATACTTAGGATTCTTTCATTCCTAGTTATTAGTTAACACAGACTGACTGAAGGATGAAAAACATCAAATATTTTTAAATGTTTACTATTCTGAACGAATACTAACTAGACATGGGAAGAATATAAACTCCGGCCACATCCAAGTCGATAATATGAAAATGAAACGAACGGAAACATATAAGCACTTGGGTGCAAACTTCAACTGCTCCAACATTCAGAGAGAAGAAATACAATCTAAAAATAAAGTATACTATGCCCTTCAACATCTGCTAAAGTCAAAGTGTCTGTCTCGCAACTTCAGGATCAAAATATATAAAACGTTCATAAGTTCAGTCGTTTTATATTGCTCTGAAACTTAAAGCAGAAATAAAAGAGATGAGGCCTTATTACAGGTTTTTGAAAACAGTCTTACGACAAATCTTTGGACCCATAAAAGATGCTAACAGCGGGGAATGGAGAGTGAGAAGGAACAACGTAATACATAATCTGTTTAAATCACCATTGATCACTGGCATCATGAGAGCTAACAGACTAAACTGGTTGGGGCATGTTGAAACAATGTCAGATGACAGAGAAGTAAAAACTGTATACACCTGAGAGAGGAATGGGTGTAGACCACTAGGCAGACAAAAAAGAAGTTCGAGAGGTAATGTCCAGCCAGACCTGCAAACAACTGGTGTCACAAATTGTGAAGATAAGGCCAGCCAGAGAGATGAATGAAGACGAGTGATATCTGCAGCAGTAAACCTCAAGGGCTCAGAATGCTAAAGAAGAAGATGACTATTCTGTGCTACTTTATGTGAAGTAAAAGTTCAACGAACATTTGACATTATGAATGTGTGTGTGTGTTTTTAGAAGATATAATTTATACACTATACACTATTCGTATTTGGCCGAAAAGTTGGTCCCGTTAGTTGTATTTGGCCGAATAGTAAAAATCACTATTCGGTACAGCCCTAATATATACATACATGGGGATCATCACTGGTGCTGCAGTGTTCATGCTTAGTGCAGTGCTCACAGCTTGCAACAAGCTTTTCTGTGGAGAGAGGCCGAACTGTGTGGGATAAAACCTGGTGCAGTAAAATTATCTCAACTTTAACCTTAAACTTTCTGTAACTTATTATTGCAGAACTCTTGTCAGCTTGGGATTGTAAGATTTGAAGAACAGGCCTCTGGGCTACATAGCACTACACACTTACTGTAGGCAAGTTCATGGGCTCTCCCAATAATTGGTTTACAATTTGGGTGCAGCTTGGAAGGCTAACCCAGGCAATCAATTCCTGAAGAATTTGGATGTGTTAGCCACAAGACACAAATATTGCAGTTATGCTGTAAACAGGCACAACACATACATTTCTAAAATAAAAATTAGTTGAAAGAAGAAAAAGGTCAGGTCATGAGGAGAAAACTGGAGTGCATCGTGATGGTGGGAAAGTGAGGTGAAAAGAACAAACAAATGAACAACCTTTATTTTCAGAGGTTTAAGAATTAGGCACGCAGGCCCATCAAAGATTCTGCCCTTCTAGTCTCCCTCCTTGCATCAAGAGACAGAAGGAGACCGAGACTGGAGAGAAGATGCTGACCTCTGTGTGGGAAATTGAAACCACCCAAGACAAGGTTGTGGGTAGACATGACTACCAACGCCACACAGCATGGACTACAAGAAGAAGATTTTGGCAATCATGGTATACTGTTTCCCCCCAACCTATGTATGCCACACCATATGTCTGGCTATGAAACACATGCGACAAACCAACAGCTCCATATGTGTTTTAATTTTATTCATAACAAAAAAAACAGGGTGCATCATAAATTGTGGAACACCCCCTTTCTCCCAAAAGATTTGTATACAAATATTTATTGTATTCAGTCAACATACATCTGAACAAAGCCTTTGCTTGTATTTTTGTCTGCATCCAGTCTAAATGCTGGACAGTGTGTACTTCTTGTTGCCATGCTGTCACAGCGGTGGTGTGTAGTGCGTCACAGTTTGTGACTCCAGCTTTTTTTTCAGCTGTAACCCTAAAGTCGTCATGCCTTTTCTGGTTTGTGACTACTGAAGTATGAAAGTTGATCAGATTTTAAATACACACACATATTCACACACTCTCTTATACCCCTCCCTCCTCCTTTTTGCCCCGATCAACTATCAATTTTGTTTTTCATTCTGACTGTGTCTTGTTTTTGTTCTCTCCTGTCTCATTTTGATTTTCTTTGTGTGTGCACACACAGACATAATATGGAAATTATACAGACTGAATCAGACTGCCAGTTTAGCCTTGAA